GAAGGGCTGTGAGAATGCACCCTGGAAGCCCGGCGGCCCACGGAGCTGTGCCATGTGGGTCTCAGAGCAGGGAGGGCCGGTCTGGGACTGTGGCCCTCCCCTGAACGTGACCCGCACAAGCCTTCATCCACCGTGCCGGCTTCATGCCACTGTCAAGCCTGCCCAGACGGCTGTACTGGGACAGCCGCCCCAGGGAGGGTACATCTGGCTGCCCAAGCTCTCGCCCCCGTGGCCCCACAGGCCCCACGCCTGTGGGAAATAAAGCCGGATCTGCAAGGCTGTGTCCGGCAAGGCCGTGGTGAGCTGGTGGGCTCTGCACAGGCTCCCTTCACGGGCACGCTCAGGGACAGCCGGTCTTCAGGGCTGGACCTCGAGGCTGAGGGTGGGGCAGCTTCCCGCCACAGCTTGTGGGAGGGGCCGCTGGAGGCCACCGTTGGTGCTGCCGCCCCAGTGCCTCCACCTGCACCAGCAGTCGGTGTAGCAAGGTGGGCGGGGCTGGCGGTGGGGATGCTGAGGTGGCTCAGGGAGTCCTGCAGAGCAAGGCAACTGCCCGTGTGTGGGAGGGCCTGCCCACAGGGGCCGGTGGTTTCTGCACCTGACTGCGGGCTGATTGGGAGGGGCTGTCCTGCCTCCTGCCCAAGCCCAGCCTGCTACCCCATGAGCCCACACACTCCTGCCTGGGGCTGCCTGAGAGGCTCCTCCCAAGCCTAGGCACTCTGCGAGACGTGGCTGCACACGGTGCCCCCTCCCAGAGCACCAGGCCCCACGGCTGCTTTACCTGCCTGAGGCCAGGGCTAAGGTAGGAGGGTGGTACTCCCAACCACAGCTCAGCCTAGATGGACAGTCGGGGTGGACTGCAGGACGATGCTGGCCCCAGGCCCCCTCTAATGGGAAGAGACCCCTGGTGTGACCCCCAGCATTTCTCAGCACCTCCTCCATCTCCTCGGCCTGGCCTGGCCTGGACCTGGCTGGCCTTCCTCTGAGCAGGGGTCACAGTCCCTCAAGGGTGTCTGCAGATGTCCAGAAGGGCTCCGTCCAGGCCAGTCCTCTGGCCCGAACCAGGGAGAGCCCAGAGCCGCCCATCCCACATGGACAAACAGCTGGGCCGGGGTTGCTGCAGAGGGCTCTGCCTGGCAGGGCCACGTGGCAAAGACCCCGGAGGGTCCCCGATACACAGGTGGCCGCGGGGGCAGTGTGCCCAGCTGTCCCTGGTGTCAGTTTTCCCAAATGCGTCATCGCCTGACATGCCAGGTTCTCCGGAGCCCCACCCACCGCCCAGGTGCAGTTCCTGAGCCCCTGACGGTCCTCCCATCAGGGCGACTTTCTGACTCCCCCAGCCACGGCCCCTCTGCCCTTGCACATGCGTGGGCAGCCAGGGATCTAGTCTGCTCCCTGTGCCCTCCACTCTCCCCAAGAGCCAGGCGAGGCTGTCCTGAGGGGCGGGCTTCTGCACACAGCCCTCCCTGTCCTCTGAGGCTGTCCCCATGGTGCTGTGGCACTCGGGCCCCCGTGTCTTCAGAACAAAGCCTACGCTTATCACCAACAGCCTCTCTGCGGGTCCCAGTGTATCCACATGCCGGGGTGTTCTCGGGGCCAGGCCAGAGGCACCCCTCTGTGGGAGCTCGAGCAGGGGCAGGGGCACACGGACAGCTGCTGAGACAGAGCCCTCTTCTGGGCACCCAGGTGAGCCGTGGAAGGGTGTGCCTCAGGTGGCCTGGACAGATGGCTTCTTCCCAACAGCTCTGAGGGCCTGTGCCCCTGCCAAGGCCTGTCCCGAGGGTGGACACAGCTGGAAACACACCATCCGTCCTCCGAGGAGCCAGGTGGGTGGCCCTGGTGTCCTGGCTGCGGCAGGTCCAGACTCAGGTCCTCTGGAAGAAGGGGCTGATGTAAATTTGATCTGGGCGTGGGGCATGCTGCATTTGAAACGTGTCACTGGAAAGGCGTGGGGTGAGCCCCAGCTGGGCAGGGCAGGGGCAGTCAGGGCAGACGGGGGACAATGGGACAGTTTGCTCTTGCAGGGCTGAGCGTGGAGGGCGAGCACGGCCAGGGCTGGGCCCAGCCGGCCTCAGTGCAGCCACAGGCAGTGTGTTCTGATGCCCACATGGAGGTAGAGGGCAGCATGCGGGCAGCCGGCCTGTCCTCAGCACAGACATGGCCACTGCCCCGAGGGCTCGTGGTGTCCCTCGGTGGATGGGCTGGCCACGAAGACTTGAGGAAGAGAGGTGCCAGGTGCACACTGGGCCGGCTCCGGGGCTGGGCAGGCTGGGACGGGGAAGGCAAAGGCTGGGGACACCCAGGGAGAGGCAGCCTTCTCTGGGTCTGACCCACGGGGACCTCCCGGCTGGCCGATCATCACCCATGAACCCCACCTCTGCACACACGCGGGCTTTGCCAAGGCGTCAGGGCATGCGGCACTCGCCCAGAGCCTTCACCTCCCTCACCCTCGGTCCCTGGCCGGGCTCAGTGTGGGGGCTGCTCCCAGGCAAGAAGCCCTAGGGCGCTGAGCCTCTCCGCAGAGCCCCACGGACACAGCGGTGCCCAGGCAGACCACAGGGCACGGCCGGGCACCGGAGGCCCGCTACCCTCTGCGGGAGACACGTGGTACCATCCTGCGCCACCAGCTCTCCGGCCCCCAGGGGTCAATGTAGGTGTGGGGACCAGCCCCGCTGCACCCATGGTCTGCCACTGAGCGTTCTACCCTGGCCACCATGGAGCTGGACCGGGGCCTGGAGGCCGGGAGGTGTCCCGGGACAGGCCGCGCCCAGGCCTCCTGTCACAGTGCTGCTCATACAGGAGCCCCGGCCCCGGACAGCCGAGGAGACGGGCAGAGGCTGGCCACCCGCCCCCGGCCCGAGGACAGCCTCTGCCTCGGCCCAGTGCCCTCTGCTTGTCACATCCAGCCAGGGCGGCGTGTGGGGGTCCCTTGGCCTGGGGCTGGACTTGGCCTGCGTGTAGCAGGGAGCACTCTCCTAGGAGAGCCCTCTACAGGGGACATGAGCAACAACCAGGCATGTCTGTGACCACGGCTGTCCTGAAAGTGGACAGTGGGCGTCTAAAGTCCTGAGGTGCATCTAGTGCAGACACGCACGCAGGGCCTGCAGGTGCAAGCTCTACACACACCTGCCCACGAGCCACAGCAGAGAACCCCAGGCTTCCCGGAGGCAGCTCCAGGCTCGGGCTCAACCTTGGAGGGTGGACTAAGGGCAACGAGGATGTGAGGACAAGGCCTTGGCGTGGCCTTTGGTTCGAGGCTGCTCCGAAGGACTTCTCGGGTCCCCTCCACTGACGCGGGGCCTGTGGGTGCACCCAGGCCCGGGGCCCTTCCCCAAAGCAGACTCCACCCCCAGGGCAGGCCTAGGTCGGGCCAGTCAGCACCAGCGAGTGAGGCCAGGACGCAGCCTGGGGTTGAGGGCAGCGTGGGTGTCTGGGACCTGGCAGTCGGTGCAGGGGCACGGGTCCTGAGGAGTAGTAGGGGAGCCTCGCCAGTGAGGACAGCCACACAGATGGGCTCCGAGGGGCCGAGTCGGCTAGCAGGCTGGGGGCCAGGGAGCGCTGATTGGGGGAGCAAGCCAAGGGCGGGAACGCTGGATGGGGGTGGGGAGCCTCGTGCCCCTGTGAAGGCTGTGGCTGGCGGTACCTGCCTGGGGTGGCCTCAGCAGGGTCCCTATCCCGCCAACTCACTTCTATTTATCTCCCCCTTGGGGGAGGGACGGGAGATGAGCTCACGCCCCCCCTCCACAGCCCTCCCAGGAAACCTGCCCACACATAAGGCCCTTCCTGGGCTCCGGGCGCCCACCTGAGCCCTCCCTGCCCTCTCCAGGCTGCTACAGGTCTGCAGGGGGAGCCTCTCAGCCAGAGGGAGGGACCACTGGGTCAGGGTGGGCTGTGGCCACCCTCGAGGAAGCGCCCTTCCATGGGAGCACCTGTTCCAGACTGCCGGGCCTGGGTGCTGCGCAGCTGGCCAGGAAGATGGGGCGTCGGTGAGGCTGGAGAACCCACTGGGTCGTGTGGACAGCCACCAGGGTGACCAGGGTAGCCACACAGGCCCAGACGGGGGAGGGAGTGGGGCCGCCCTGCAGGCTCAGGGTCAGTAGTCCAGCAACCCAGAAGCCCGCGTGGGGGCTGAGCCGGGAGCAGCCAGGAACATCCTCAGAAGTTCATGGCAGCAGACCCCCTGGCGCCCACACCCTGGGTTCCCACATCACTCCAGGGTGGACCCCTGAACGGTCAAAGAGCCAAGGGGGTGAGGTTGAGGCCACCATCAGCAATGGGGTGCTAGAACCCTTAGGCACAGCTCCTGTGGGAGGCTGCGTACCAGCGAATATCTCTGGTTTCTCAGAAAGCAAACAATTACACAATGCCAAGGGCCATGATTGGCCCCCTTCAAAACCTCACCTTCAGAACTATACTCTGATCGGCTATTTCCCGTAAAGGCCACAATTGGTTCCCTTCAAAACCTGACCTTCGGGAACAAGCAGTTAGCGTAATGGCTATGTCGCTGGACTCCCACGTAGTCGACCACGGTTCTCGTCCCGGACCTGGTGGCTTAAAACTCACGCCGGGCATATGTGCGCGCGTGCCCAAGATCCCGAGAGGAGAATGGAGGAGAAGGGATTGCGGCGTGACCATCCCCCCTGGGGGGGTGATTTCTTGCTTTCTGTCTGTCTCTGTCTGTTGGGCGAGCGCACCCGCCCTGTAGCGAAAACCTCTCAAACAAACAAACAAACAAAACCTGACCTTCGAAACCATACCCTGATTGGCCACTTCCCATAGCAAATCGGTGAGCTTAGAATCCCTCAGATTTGTATAACTGGCACCTCATGATTGGTCCACAGAAACAACCAATCATAACCCACCTTTTACAATCCTTCATTCAACCAATCATGGCCCACCAACATGTATATATCCACAATGCCAGCCGACCAGGAAGACGACACAGACCAAAGGCATGCGAGGTCCCAGCTCTCATCCCCGGGGCGGGACAAGCTCCCATGCCCATGACCCTGCTCCTGCCTGGTGGCTTCCATGGCACCTGCTGTCACCTGGGAGACGTGGCACGGGACTGGCGCACATCCCGTTAAGAAGCACAAACGGGGCCCCAGCAGAGGCACTGCACCAAGATGCTGTCTCCGCCCCACCAACGCTGCAAGGCCCAGGCCAGCCGGTGTGCATATGGAGACCCAGCTCCCAGCAGGCCCGACCTCACTCAGCTGACCACGGGTCTGAGCCCACGGGGCCGCTCTGTGCTCCTCGGGCTGGCTGGCGGCCGACAGCAGGTCCCCATGCGGGGCAGGAGGCCGCCCTCCTGCCCTGCACACCTGTCCTCAGCTTCCTCCCAAGCCAGCTGCCGCTGCCCTTACCCTGGGTCAGCACAGAGGGCTGAAGGGCGCAGACGCCACACAGTAACCCCAGAGCTGAACCCGACTATCTCCAGAACCCTCTGCTGACGTAGCTGACCCTGGACTCGAGGGCACACGTCACACGAGACCGAGGTGGCCGTGGAAGGCAGGCCAGCAGTCAGGGTGGCCGCTGGAAGCCCAAGGCCCACTAGAGCTGGGGCCCAGAGCTCGCTCTCCTCAAGCCTCCGGAGCCAGGAAGCTTCGCAGAGCGTGAGCCTGTTTCCGGAGCTGTCAGGGCAGCCCCCGAGGTCAGACAGCCCAGGTCTACGTCCAGCCCAAGCCTCCAGGGCACCCCTCCACACCCACCCTGGCATCTACTCCGGCCCGCGAGGTGGCGTAGCCTGCAAGCTGCCCGAGCCTCTGGGGTGGACTCGAGGGTGCCGACCCCAGCGTCAGAGTGGACCAGGGCTCAGAGGCCCTGCTAGTGCTGCCCAGTGGCCACCCACAGGGCCATGCTGTCACACAGATGTCCTCTGCAGGCGATCAGAGCTGCCACCAGCCCAGAGGAGTGGCCAGGCCTCCTGACCTGGGCAGGGGGCTTGGTGACCTGCCCCAGGGCTCACAGCTCCCCCACTTCCCCAGCCGTGGGGCCGTCTGCTCCTTCCCACCCGACCTCTCCTTCCCCAAGGACTGAGCCCACAGGTGGCGAGGGCCCAAAGCCACCCCCTGTCGAGACGCTGGCCGTCAGTGGGCTCCCCGCCCCACCCACCTGGGTGTCGCTGCCGCCCAGAGAGCAAGGCTGAGCTGCAGCACAGGCGCGGGCCGGCTCAGGCCCCACGCCCGGGCACTCAGCCAACGGAGGGTGGGCCTGGGGAGGAAGGGGACAAGCAGGCCCAGGCCAGGCATCAGAGCCAAGCGCAGTCACCTGTCCCTCCCGTGGGCTAAAAGTGGGACATACCTGACGACGCACTCCCCAGGTCAAAGGTCTGCCAGGTTGGCTGCCCTGGACAGAGCCAGAATGGCAACGCCGCAAGGGAGAAGCCCTTTATTTTCTCACCCAGAGAAAGGTGGAGTCTGAGCGGCCCAGGGCTAGCGCCACAGAGGCCCACACTCCTTGCCTCTTGTCCCCCACTGAGGACGCATCCTGTCCTTGTGTGCTCAGCATGGTTGGCTGTGCTCTGGCTGTCATGTCCAGATCCCAGACATGACGAGGACTCACCCATGTGAAGCCTGCACCTCTGCCCGACACTCCGCTGCTAACCGCCGTCCTGCTGCGCCGCGGAGCTGGGCAGGGCTGTACGGAGCCCGTCTGCAGGAACACCAAGCCGACTCTCCCCAGGGAGAACAGCACCACAGCCCGGCTGCCCACTTGGCTGTGACCGCACCGGGCCACAGGTGTTTGCCCAGGCAGGAGTCCCTCCTCGACGACACGGGCTCTTGCTGAAGGGGGACCCGAGCACAGTGGCTTCCTGGTACCTCTCGGGCCTAATCCAGGTCTTCTGATTCAGTCAGGGCCACAGGGCCAGGGTCTGCGCTCTGAACATGCTCCCGGCGAGCTCCTCTCCTGGGATGGCATGAAAGGAGGGGACCCGAAGAGGGCTGAGGAAGGTCCTGCCAGTGCCCTCCCCGATGCCTAGGAGATTCTCGGTGCGACATGTCCTTGAGAAACTCTGGGGTCCTGGGTTACGGGGAGGGAGGCCTCAGGGAGCAACAGCAGGTGGTCTGTAGTTAGGGGGCTGGACTCCCACATGGCCGACAGCAGCTCAAGTCCCAGACCTGGAGGCTTAAAACTCACGCTGGGCGCGTGTGTGCACCCAAAGTCCCTAGAAGAGTGAAGGGACTACGGTGTGGCTGTCTCCCAGCGGGTAGCTTCTCACTTCCTGTCTGTGTCTCTGGTGAGTGCATATGCTTATAGCAAAAAGACAACTCAAAAAATGATTAAAAGAGGAGGCAGCCAGGGACACTGCGGACAAGATGGCCGCCGGGCTCGGCCACTGGACACGGCATGTCCCCATCAGCTAGCTGGGTAATGGGTCGACCTTGCAGCACCAGGGGCCCAGGGCCCAGAGCTGCAGCCGGGGGCTCATCTCGACCCCAACAGTACTAAGGAGGGCACAGCATGTGGGTCCACGTGGCCTTCCACATCCCAAGAGGATCCTTCCGAGGCCGGGTGAGTGTGACGTGGGTGGGGTGCAGACGACAGAGGCCGAGTACAGAGAGGAGCAGCCCCGGGAGGCTGCCATGTGGGCAGGGTGGGGTGGGCACCCTCGAAGCCCTCCTGCTGGCCCCCTGCAGGCTCCAGGTGCCCGCCCGCCCTCGGCCTTGCCCCTGGACAGAAGGAAGACGCCATGCTTCGTCTCCCAAGCCCTTTAGTCGAGGTGCATACACAGCCACGGCACACGCGGCACACGCGTTGGGCTCAGGACAGACCACAGTGACACGTCCCCATGCGTGGGCACTTTCACGCTGCAGCACAGCAGCCACTCAACAGACCTGGGCCATCACAGACGTCACCACGCTGTCGAAGGCCCTGCGGGAGACAAGGACCGGCTCAGGGGCAGTCCCGGGCCCCCTCCACCCTGCTGCGGAGGACAACCTGAGGCCGGGACGTGAGACCTGGACGCCGGGCAGGAGCCCGTGTCCTGCCCCATGTTCTGTGGCCTGGCCTCTCACCCCAGCCTGCCCTGCCGGGCCTCACACAGCAGAGCGGAGCAGCGAGCAGGGCCAGGCAGGGCTGGGGCCCAGGAGATATGGCTTAGGGGACGCCACCTGCCTGCTCTGGTCTGGACCCACTGTGTCCTGGCCGAGGGACAGGCACAGGAAGGGCCTACCTTAGGTTCATGCCACGGCCCCTGCTCACTGGAGGAGCCCCAGGACAACTGTCTGGGAACAAAGGACTCCTGTGGGTGCGGGGCGGGTGCACACGGCCCTGTCTCACGACCTCCGGATGGTGCCTGTTCCTATAAAGGGTGTCTGGGGACCAGCGAGGGGCCTGGTGGTTAACGGGGCTGGGTCCTCCATGGCTGGACTACAGTTCAAGCCTAAACCCAGCGGCTCGACAGACAGCGGTGCGTGCGCCCAGAGTGTGGGACTGCAGCGTCACCGTGCCCCCTCCAGCGAGCGAGCACGCGCCCTCAGGCGAGTCGGGTCAGCAGCGGCCGGTGGGGTGACACTGCAATCCACGAGCCCGAACAGCGAGGCTGAGCGTGGGGCACCGGGAAGCACCCACGGGGCTGACCACGTGGAAGTTCCAGGCTCACTCCCCACGTGCTACCCTGCCCCAAGGCTGCCTGCGGCTGCGGGAGGGAACAGCATGGTGACCCTGCCGGAGGGCCACCTCTGTCACTCTTGCTCGTAGAAAAGTGCAACGAATTAATTTTTTAAAAGGGAACAGCAGATGGCATAGTGGCTACATCACTGGACTCCCAATTAGTCAACCATGGTTCGAGTTCCGGCCCCTATGGCTTAAACCTCAAGCTGGACAAGTATGCCCAAAATCCCAAGAAGAAAATGGAAGAGAAGGGACACGGCGTGGCCATCCTCCTTGGAGGGTGATTGCTCACTTTCTGCCTCTCGTGCAAGCATACACACCCTGTAGCAAATACTTTGTCTCTTTAAAAAAAAAGAAAACCACTCCCTCTGGGGCAGCACTGGTGGCTGGGAGAAACCACCCCTCCCAGCGTTTTCAGTAGCTGCGCTCCAGCAAGGCAGCACACGCGGACTCAGGGCCCACCTGGACTGGATCCGGTCCCCCGGGTTATAGAAGGGGTTGCACATCACGTCCGTGTAGGAGTTATGCAGCTTTCGGAACATCTGGAACAAAACCACTTTAACTGACACACAGCTACACACGTTCCTGGCTTTTCAGTATCTCAAAATCAGGAAGATGAGAAAACAAAACCCACCCACCCAGAGCCCCTGCGCTTACGCTGCGGATCTCGTTGTCGCGAAGGGCCGTGTTGGAGGAGCCCACCACCATGACGAACTTCACCTTGGAGTTGGTGACGTAGCCGTATCTACACAGCTGGTTAGGGAACACGCATGTGCCATAGCCCCAAACGCCTGCAAGCTGAGGACCCTCTGTGACACCCCTGGACCACCGATGTGCAGGTGGCCAGTCCTGCAGCTGCCATGCCAGACGACCTAGCGCAGTGCCCGGGGCGGACTGCAGGCCCAGCGGGCAGGCTGGCAGTTAGGCCCGCCCCGGGCACTCCGGGGTGCCTGTGTCTTCCTGAAGCCATGTCTGGCCCCGAGAGGTCAGCTACAAAACCAGAGGTTTCTCAAACGAGGCAAATCTCCCCGGAGGCAGTGCCCTCACACAGTGGCTCTCAGCTCACTGTGACAAGTCCTATGGCTCACGGGACACCTTTGACTGCACAGCCCCAAGGGATTTGTTCCCAAGGGACTGACGGAAAGTTCCCAGTGGCTCACAAGGCCAGACCCCACAAGATGAACTAAACCACCCCTGCTCTAAGAATCCCTTCAGGCACAGGGCAGAGCTGGCTCCTCCCGGTCTGCCTCTCCCACAGGCTCTCCCACGAACCCACAGGACTGCAGGTCTCCCAGCCTCAGGCCACCCTAATCCCGCCTGCTGAAAGCCCGCTTTCCTTCCTTCCAGCACTGAAGGCACCTGACCCCAGACACACCCTGCACCGCCCCCAGCCCGGGAAGATACACCTTGTAGTCCTCCGTGGGGTAGAGCAGGCCCAGACAGAGCTCCCTCTGGTCCACCAGGGCCTTGCCCATGGCAGAGACCTTCTCGTCCACCACGTCCAGAGCCGTGTGCACCATGTAGTGGAACCGCAGCTCGCTCTCCGTGGGGGTGCTGCGCACGTACAGCGGGTAGTTCTGCCAGGAAGGAGCAAGCTGCACAAAGGACACTCACAAGCGCCCCCCCCTCCGCAGCCACCCGGGGACCCCTTCTCGCCCCAAACCCACTGCGAAAATCGCCACACTGCTGACACGCTAACCTAGCAGGTGCACGTGTGTTTGCACAGGGCAGGGGTCAGGTGCAAGAGACGAGACCCCGCACCTAGGCTGCCTGGAGCCAGCTCTGCCTCGGCGAGGGGCCACTCCAGCGGCACCAAACACCCGCCCACACCACGGCTCCACCTCTCACCAACCACCTGCCCAGAGATGGCAGAGGTCCCCGCAGCTCCCCACCCTCCGCGCACATGTGTCCGCGACACGGGGCGCTGCGGACCCGTGGCACAAACACGCGGGTTGCACAGACGCCCAGGCGCAGGCCCGTGGGACGCCCGGCCTCTCGAGCTTGGTCTCGCTTGAGGAGCGGGACTCGGCGGCAGGCC